TATGAGATTTTGTATATTGATTTAGCATTGGAACGAACATGATTTCTAAAGTGTCTAGCAAATTCATCACTTGCTCATAGATTCATTCACACCCAAAGAATCAAGCTATAATGAAGCGTCATGCTAATGCGCTAATAGAAAATTTGTAACTTCTCTCTACTTCTTTTTCGTAATAAATCTCTATCTCTCGTAGAAAACAAACTAGAATAATAGGACTTCTATCATCTTCAGCACTTTTAAATTTACAATCTAGCATTGAATACGTACATGTTCTCATGTTTCATCGAAGTTTCAATAAAAGAAACGAATATTTTGCTTTCAAAGAAAATCTGGTCATGAAAAAGATGGTTTCTCTTGTTTCTATTTCTCTTCACAAGATGTTATTCATACAAGATTGAGTCTTTCATTTTCGTCTATTGATTGATTTGATTAGTATATATAGACAGAAAGAAAACTTGCTTGTTCGATTCACAGTCGAAAACAAGATGAGACATTGAAGAAAATTGACTCTCGAAGGTCTTAGATGAAAACCAAATAAATACAATTCATAATTGTTTTTTTGTTTCGTTTATAACGTATCTCTTTACCAGAATAATTCTTTATTTCTTAATTTTCAAATCTCATGTAGACAAGGTGAAAACTATAAACGTTCGAAAATATCTGAAGACATTAGTTTGTACTATCTTCTTGTTGATTAATAGTTAATAACTAAATAAACAATCTTTAGTTAGGATTGATATCAAATATGTGAATTCCAGTTCCAGGTAATCAAGATATTTAGGAAAAACTATTTTTGTACAAGTTAAATATGACTTCCACATGCACACAACTATTGATTGTTCGTATCTCTATGAACTTAAGTCAGATAAGTCGTTAGAATATTGTTGAAACACAGCAAGTTTCTAGTATTCTCCGTACTCAAAACTTGTCGGCTAGAGTCCAAGAATTTCTGTATCACTACGCAATTACATCGTAAAAGAAAACCATACGTGAAAGTCGCTGATTCATATGTAACATTCTACTCATAAATAAGATCCAATTTAGAAATGATTCAACCGCACACAGCGCCTGCCTCGATTTATGGTGATTCTAGTGTTTTTTCGAGCTCGCATACGGTGTTTTAGTAGAAGCAGCTATATGATGTTCTTTTTTTGAGATAATATTACACCTATGAATAGGACTCTTTATCATCAGAATATCTCAAGGGATCTGTCAAAAGAAGCTATCTTTCCAAGAATTTTGGGCATTAAAGAAACGTCGTTTGCTAATCTTTTTTGTGGACTATATAGTTGACTTTTATGAATTCAATTTCTTAAAAAAAACTTTCTTTTCGACTAAAATTCAGTAACACTGTTTTTTGACGAAACATGTCACGACAACACGATAATACACCAGGGATGTCCATCGCGGCTAAAAATCTGCCACTGCCGCGTTGCGACGACTTTTAAAAAACAGTTACCGCGCCGCGATGACTTATTAAAAATAGTTGCCGCAGCGCTATCGCAATGAATTGTGAAATAAACTTGCCGCTGCCGCGATGGTTTTCAAAAAAGCGTTTCGAATTTCACTGCTGCGACTGTATTGGACCAGAAATATTGGTACTAGTCCATAAGATTCATTCAGTCTCAGAGTTTTTCATTTGTAAACACTGAGATTCTATCAAATTCATGCAGCTTTTCAATGTCCTCGAGAATAAATGCTGCTGCTGCTGCGATAATTTTTTAAAAAATCTGTCGCTGCCACACCGCCACCACCACCGAGGTAGCGGCAGGGTCGTCATGGATATTTCTGTAATACACTGGAATAATCATGCGTTTAGAAAGATACTGTGTCGAGACAATGGTTTTAGGGTTCTGCTAATATTATTATAGCTTAGTTGTGGGCAATAGGTAACTTCCAAAGTACATTTATATTTTTAGATCACCTACCTCTAACAAAAAAGTTCATCCTTGCTGCTTATATTCAGAATGAAACTAGCTGCATTTAAAAAACCCGATAAAAAATACAAATATAATTGAAGAAAAGTTTTGTCTTTAATTGCTGTAATTGTGATGTAAATACTACTTCGATTGTCTGACGATTTTTATCGACTCTCAGTGTTTGTTTGTTATCATTCAGTCACAAATTGAAGGTAGATTGTGGATTTGATTGAGCTTGAGCAAGTAGGTATTCTGTCTACCCTCCAATAATTACTTATTACTTAAATTAAATAATTCTTATTTTCTTCATTGTGTTAATAGATTACCATAGATCACAATAATAAATCAGAAGATTTTGGTTTTATCCATTTGGAAATGCAAGAAGCAGCAAACAACGACATCAGAAAAACCAATAGTGTGTTAATAAGCTATAAAAGAAAAAGCTTGTGTAGATTTCATTATTGACGAATCCTGTAGATTTACGAATATATTTATCGAAAATTCTGGTGACCCATTATATGAAAAAGTGTTACATGAGCTTTTGTTAACATATGGTAAAATTTCGACATAAAAACATAGAAAAATAGATTATTTTTTCTATATACAGGTTCAAGGTGACGAAAATGATCAGTCAAAGAATTTTTCACTTTCGTAAATGCTAAAGATATCGCTAAAACGAAGAAAAATATGTCACTTTCCCTTAATCATATTTTTAATTCTATAGGCTGTTCAAATTCTAAAAGGATATTTCATAGGTAATAAACAGCTTTATGTTGGTCACTTTGAAAAGCAAAATTCATTACGTTCGATGAAGGGTACATTCATAATTAAACAATAATTTTATCTCTTCCTTTTTCAATAAAAATAATAATTTATTAGATAAAAATCAAATATATAATTTGATAATTTATTAATAAAATATAAAATAACAAATACAACAAATGAAATATCAAATATACCGAACAATAACTGACGTTTCGAACGTAAAACATTCTTTAACAGAGTGAAAAAGAAGTTACTAATTGAACAATCTGTGAGAGAAAACTCGTCATCGACTAATTATTGAAGTGTATATGCCATTGTTACATTTTGATCAATGCTTACGTTTGAGACAATGAGTGACCCTTCATTTAGTCGCTTCTTCTATAACGCATTGGACTGTACTATGGTTAGTTTGAAAATGTAAAAACACGATGTTAACGAGAAGAGAAAATTTAATAGTGTAAGACGTATGAGTGGGGTGTGGGTGTGGGGTGTGGAGTGTGAGTGTGGATAATGAGAATATATCCACACCCAAATCCACACCCACACCCTGGCTAGTGAGAACAATCGTTCTAGCCAGTACTCTAATGTATTTTTATTGTCAAAAGTTAGAGCAGAATATTGTTAATCAACGTCTAGATACTTCGCTAACAACAAAAGACACATGAAAGGTCGTGGATGTAAAACGATCATTTTCACGAGTTAACTTGTGAGTGAATCAAAGTTTGACTAATATCGTCCTCATATCTTTCGAGAGCACATGGAACGCATTACGACATTATATTTATGAGAAAGAACAAACAGTTCTTCTCCTTCTTATCATCTCCATATATAACTCACCTGACAATAGCTATTCAGCAATCTTACCAAATAATGTTACCGACTGGTATCTTAGCGCTCTTATTCTTACAACTATCAACCATTCAAAGTCAACCTCACTACGAGACAATTCCACTTCGGTTTGATTTGGCTATCGATCGAATTCGGCAATATCAATATATCTCACCAGATGATTTGATCGAGACAGTTTCATTAAATGAATTACCCTCTCTGCTTGCCTCCATCGATAAAATCACTCAATGTGATCGAGATTTTGAGCGTATTGTCGAAGATGCCCTACAACGTCAATTCTGGGCCTTCAAAGTAATCGACGCCTGGGGCAAACCACTACCTTCTGGTCTACTCAAAGGCAATGGCTACTGGACAGGCAATTATGATGAGTGTGTGCAGAGTTTATATCAACCGCACAACAAGTCTTTTCTCCAACAACCAATCGACACTCAGTATTGTGCGTATCGTTGCCTATTCAGCATTGTTGCATATATTGAGTGATATTTAGGTACTCTTTTTCCCCAATCATCACTTTCATTGAATACATCAAAAGTAGGTATCACTCTCGGCTTATGTGTGCCATTGACATGCAATCGATCGGGTGTAGTGTCAATCCTTCGGAAAGTGCTGAAAAATAGTAGTGTTACCGAAGATCGTCTTTTGTGCTCGAACGAACCACGCAGTCTATCACAAGGTGTTATCGCTACTTGTGTTGTCCTCTCCTTGCTTGGATTGTTAGTTCTAATCGGTACGGTGGTCGATGTCATACACCATATTCAATTGAATTCGACGGACAATACAACCGTAAATATCAATGGGTACAGCTATATGGTCGATGATACTAGCACGGAGAGAAAATCGATGACGATGCCTCCCGATTCTCGCTTTTCATTGCAGACATTGCTGAATCCTAAGCCAAGATCGACATTCATTGCGGAATTTTCTGCCTTGCGTACTCTGCACCGAATATTTAATATTGAAACGAAGACAAAAGATGACGATTCATTACCATTTTTGAATGGCGTTCGAGTCTTAGCTCTTTTCTGGGTTATTATCGGTCATTCCATTGTTTTCAACCTGACCTTCTCCAGTAATCCACTTGATCTTCTGGCCTGGACTCATAATCTAAGTTTTCAATTGATTATTAATGCCGTTTACAGTGTCGATACTTTCTTTGTCTTAAGTGGTTTTTTGACAGCAATTATATTCGTTCGACAAGTGAACAAAGAAGGCAAATTATCCTTTCGTCTCATGTTTCTCTACTATCTTCATCGCTACCTTCGATTGACTCCAGCATTTCTCCTCGTCGTTATGATCAGCATCAATTTGACACCGTACTTCGGTCACGGACCCATCTATCCAACGCAACAAGGCTTTGAAACGGCCGGATGTCGAAATGGAACTTGGTGGACATCAATATTCTACATCGGCAATCTTGTTAAGCCAGACGATATGTGTTTACCAGTTTCCTGGTACTTACATAACGATATGCAATTTCATTGGATCGCTCCATTGGCTCTGATTCCATTTGTTATGCGACAAAAACCCATCGGTTTCATCGTTGCTACTCTGATGACACTTCTTGGGATCGCATCAGTGTTGGCCATCCTTCTTCATTATCCCGATATGTCATTGAATACGATTGAAGCCTTTATACCACAAGTAAGTGTCCTAAATTCCTACGAAGCAAGATCGATGGAATCGTTGTTTTTTTTTCTTCATTCATAGCCCGGTCCAACATTTTTCAAATATATTTACATTAAACCCTGGTGTCGCATTTCGGCCTATGCTGTTGGCATCGTCGTCGGCTTTCTGGTCACCAATACAGGACGAACGTGTCGTATCAACATTTACCTGAAATACATCGGCACCCTTTTGGCCATTCTGATTGGTCTCTTATGCCTGTTTGTCATCTATCCGGACTATCTCTATGTGCCCGGACTCAGTCGTGCATCACTCGTCGCCTTTCAAGCACTCTCACGTACCGGCTGGGCTCTGTCCATCGGTTGGCTAATCTTCCTGTGCAGTACGAATCAAGGTGGTCTAGTCAATAGAATTCTTTCCTGGCGAATCTGGACCCCCTTGGCTCGTCTAAATTATTCTGCCTATCTCATTCATCTAACCATCATCGAAATTACTATCACAAATCAAACGATGCCGACTTACTTGCAACCTCATGTTGTCATAAACACGTTTGTTTCGCATATCTTTTTCAGCTATGTTGCTGCCATTGTTGTGCACATCTTTTTCGAAACACCCTTTTTCCTCTTCGAGAAGAAGCTTATCAGACGAGCCTAACGAAAATAAATAAATCCGATCGAGCTCAAGAATCTAGAAGAAAACATAACAATCGTGTTCAAATTGAGTCCATTGGCTCGTTTTTGTAGTCTGTCTCTATGAAATAAAGCGAGAATAAAGACATTTTCATTGATCCACTTCGAATAAACATTAAAGCAAAGATCAGTCGCCGCCATCGAACCTAATCTATCGGCGACCAGCTTTTATGCAGAAGAAAATTAGCGCCATCATTCGACAAATTCATTTTCAGACGAGATCTATGAGTAATGAGCTTCTGGAATCGGAGCATGGCATTGAAAGCTCGTTGCCAATTGGGTGTTGATAAACGAACATTTCTTCATTGCCTATTGAGAAACATTTACATCAAATATTCATTCCGAATAATGGATGTTCAACCACAAATAAAAAGAAGGAAAGATCCAGAAATGATCAACAGGTAATCACAATTATTGATCCTCAACGACAATCACTTGCATCCCTTCATCAGACATGTGAATGCATCGACAATTAGACACGATGAATACATGAGATGGCAAAAAAGCTACTGTACAGAATAAGAAAAAAAAAGGAAAAAGACGAATGATGTATGAATGCCTAGACAACAGCTAGAACATACTCGCGTAGTCAATAAGAAGGACAAGAGCACCAACTACAGCTGATGCTATGGGTCATGAGCGCACTGATAATCTCGTTGATAACGATGGCAATGTAGTTCTCATGGTTGTTGCAAGTGATCGCCATCGAACGGTTGTTTTGGTAGTGAATAATGTGTATGACAACATCGATATATCTTTCTTCTCTCCTGATTATCCTCCCTGTTTGTGACAACACTGACATATCCCTTTTCATTCATAATTACACTTCCTGCTATCCGTACTATCAATAGCTGCCTGGCACGGGTTTTCGAACTGTGTGAGCAGAGAAAAAAGATTTGTGAGTGAGGCATTACTCTGCGTCCACGTCTGTACGGATCTTACACCCACACCCACGCTTTACGTAATTTGCAAAAATACATTATATTTCTTGATGAGTACCGAATTTTCATGTGATTTCAAACATTTTAGTTTGATCAGTGACTATGCTAACAAGCTTCTCGGATTCATTTGAACAGAAATCATTCATATTTCTTTGAATTCAAATAATTTTTATCAGAGTAAATATAAATCGGCTGACATGATAGAACTGATCAATAATATTTTACGAATCAGCTTTCCTAAGAAAATAAATTCCTATTCTGTGGAATAATTAGCATTATTAATTTTTAAGTTTCTACAAAAAAAAATAATGTAATTCATTCAAAGACACTTTCATAGATAAGGAAGGCGACTAACATCTAAACAATGTCAGCGTCGAATCATTGAGAAAGTGACATGTGAATATTTAGCAATGTCTGTGAAGTCTCTCGTGACCGATCAGTCTGCGCAGTGATATCTTCATTAGACAAAACAGTAACGCCTAAATTGATCTTTTCATTGACCAGTATTGAGTTTACTACATCTGGCATCGAACCATTGTGATCGATGTATCGATGACTGTCGTTCATGGTTTGCCAATACTAACCAAAGCCAACTTCTTTTCGTTGTGGTTGCTCCGTAGAATTATTAGTCAAATCTTTGCTGTAATATGGTATGAGACCATCACCGACTGGCCTTTGAATTTCGTCAATCGACCAAGGACGAAGAATATTTAAATCATTACTAAGAAACATCTGAAGATAGGTGGATAGGAAACGAGCTGACATGCGTAAGAGACCAGCAGGATAGATACTAAATCCAAAATATGGAATATATAATCAAGTGGGAAGACTCTCCTGTAGAAAAAATGATCAATATGAATCTTAGTAGTTATCTTGGCCGATGTATCAAGATCTGTGTAATATTAAATTGTGGTAACTTTTCTTTCCATACTTCGAGATAGGATGTATCATATGCATAAGCATAATGCTTTACTAAATCTTCTATGTTTCAAAAATCAGTCAATCGAACGCTTGTTTTGTTGATACCAATACCTAATGGTTTTAGAATTCTTGCTTCGACATAATTAATGTAGGGTATTTTTGCCACTCGTTGTACAACTAATGAAGCCAGACTGGAACCCTCATTCGATTAGAATAATACAGTGCTTGGTGGTTTTGGGAACCAACTGGACGTGTTTGAATTGATATGTTTGAAACAGGCATCTGCTTACGATTCAACAAATGTTGCATCCCCTTTACGATAATAGCTATTCAGCACTTGACGACTGGCAGCAATTGAAACTGGATGTGAAAGCAAGCAACGTCGAGTAATTGAATAGGAAGGATATTGTGGATGGAAGATGCGTATCTGTGGTTCTGATAAGTATTGATTAGCATCTATATCAAGATCGACGAGTTGCATAACAGCAGCGCCAATAAATGTTCTCGAAATTGATGCAAGAGTAAAAATGGATTTATCAATATCCATAAGTTGTTTTAGTGTTAAAGACTGGTAACCGAAGGCTTCTTCATACAGTGTATGGGTCACATTGACCACAATAACTCCGGTGCCTGGAATATAAACATTCTCGAGAGATTGTTCTATCCATTGTCGATTTGGACAATTAGAACTACTGCTTACTGCTGCACGGAGTATCAGAGCTAGAGCCAAAATCATTAACAATGAGTTGATCATCATTCGACTGTGTTTGATTTTTCTAAATTTTGAATAAAAATGAACAAAAGAATGAAATCATTTCTTTATCGTTCTCCCTATTATTTTTTGTTAATCTATTTGATTTCACTGTGAGGACCAAAGCACTGTCAATATTTAAAAAGCGATGATATATACTTTCGAAAGATTGTTGCAAATATAAGGTATTTATTGTTCAACGTGTTCTAGAATTCGTAATATAACATTGCAACGACCTCGTAGTGATGTCTACATGATAGCGTGGTTTTACTTCAATAGACTTCAATAATTCTCGGTTTTATCGACAACTTAACCCATTCACAACTATTATTGTCTTTCGCTACCCGCTATATTTTTACGAAAATAAACAAATTTCATGTTTTATGTTTATTTTTTATTTTTTATTTTTTTGAGACTCTTGACATGATCAGTGTATCGGTGAAACTGAATTGTTTCAGGATTTGAATCATAATTCCGAACAAATACCTTACAAACTATTTAGGAAAGGCTTCCTAAAGTAATTTTCTGACACAATTGCATATGCCCATTTATTTGCTTTGACATTAAACGTCAAGTTAGTGATTTTAGCAAGCTTTCATTTTTCTCATCAATCTCAATAGTATCCATAGCATCAATCAGTTTCTACTAGTATTCATGATAGCAGCAAACTAATTTGTAAAGATACTTATTTAAAATAGTTCTTGCTATGATAGACACGTGATATTTTATAGTTTTAACTATATTTTGTGTAGGTTTTGCTTGAAAACTATCATTTATATGAAACCATTAATGAATTTCTATATATTTAGTTCTATTTTTTGGGGAAAATATAGGTAGATTAGTAAAATCGATTGAGATATAAGATAAAGTATAAGATGAGTCGGAATAAAATCTCAACATTATAAGTCATCTGTGCATTTTATCACAGGACAATCTTTCCTCTTACGTAAATATAGATCCACTGTTAAATTCATGTCTAATAACTACCGTTGATATATTTTATTATTCAATTGAACCATCATTATTTGTTGATTCTTTCTATTTGTTTTATTAAGACTGATGAATAAATAGTGCAGACAAATCATAGAATGCTTAATATATTTCAACTCTTCACAATCCTGTTTGCATTCGAATATTTAAACAGTCCCATTTCAAACACTGATTTTGCGGCAGGTATAGTTAAATCATCTGAAATTTTCAGGATATGTCGAGGCTATAATTGAGAGATTATGATAAAATTTTCACCTTTATACCATAATATTTGAAAGAGATATTTGGCAATTCGAAATTCTCTGTCGACCCTCATCCTATATATTTAATGTTTTTTTGTTTGAAAGAAGATGTCAGGATGTAGGGTATGATTGATTTGTGTATAAATAAACTTCTTTTATGGCTTGTTGAACTTCATTGAATAGCTGGTTTTATTTTCAATGACATGAACATAGTGAACTTGCTCAAAAATGTTGTCCTAAAATCAACTATAAGTTGCCTCAATCATCTTTTTATTAAAAATCATATTTATCACAAGTATTTCGTGCCATTATGATTTATAAATAGTCATCAGAGAGAAAGAGTTAAAATAACATAACAAATGATGAATTGTTATGATACGTGTCAATCATACTAGATCACGTCGTTCTTCTTTTCTTTTTCTCATCATTGTCAGATGAGCTATACTTTTTTAAGAACCTTGGTGAAATTAATCGAAATACTTCTACGTTTTCTGGAATGTTTATTTTCAATGCGAACAACTGAAAATCTTTTTTTTTTTAAAAAACCTATTTTCTAAGCGGCAAAAATGATCATATTAATTAATACAAAGATATCGTTACCAATACTTGAAATATTATGAAGCAATATAGCATCCGATTTGAAAATAATTCATTTCATTGTAAAAATCTGATTTTCTTACATAATACTATCGGCAGTATTTTGTATACGATCATATGATATTTCTAAAACGAGTAATATGCATGCAATTGAAAAATCTCGACAATTTTTTTTTACTTTTTTTATGCATGATTGGATAGAACGCTTTGAATTATCTAGAGAAAGTGTCTTTCCAATATTCGGAAAAACCTCAACTTTTATATTTCCTTACAAAATATATCAATTTTTGTAGTGAAATCAAAAAGTTGAGATTTTTTGAATATTGGAAAGGCACTTTCTCTGAGTTACTCGAATTGCTCTATTCAACTATCCATAAAAAATTGTAAAATAATTTCCCGAAAATTTTGAATTGAGCACATCTTATTTGCAAACCTTTTGTCGCATTCGTATGCTAGTCACATACGCGAAATAAATATAACATGCGAGTTTTTTAAAACATTTGAATATCATTTATGCATTATTAAATCATCTGAACAGTCGTATTTGCGTGTTCATACATGAAATTCGATAACATAAAGACCATTTCGCAAACGCACAGAACTTAATCAAATTTCTTCGATTGTCTATATTTGTTTAGGACTGAGTAAATCGAGAGGCTCCTTCATTGTAGAATTATGTATCATGTGTTCTTTACTAAAGATAACATGCAATAATAATACTATACGATGTCCCAAAAATCCAAGCAAATATAAATAATTCTTGATTTAACATAGTTTCAATAAGTGTCTGCATGCTTGTCAGTGTCATAATGACACCAGTTCTAATCATCAATAAAGAGTAGTAATTGAAATCTTTTGTGAAATAGCTTCAGTAGACATTTTAAAACATTGAAAAAAAAACTTGATGAAATTCAGCATATTTGTGAACATGTTTGTCAATGAAGTATTTAATCTCATTGAAGACACAATATATTGAATAAATCTGCTGAGAATACTTTCGAGATGATGATGAAATGTGCTAGACTTTCTTACTAATATTAGGCAGACAAGAACATGTTTCTTCTCAAAACAAAACACTTTGACTTTTATCAAATGTTAAAAAAACATGTAGAAATTGATCAACTGAAATATTTTAGTTGAAGTTGATCATTTTGAATATCTATTATATAAATTTATATAAAATAAAATTTAAATAAACATCATGGAAACTGCTGAACTTCTTTAACAATTATTGATCTGCTTTTTTTCCGTCGAACATATGAAACATTCTGAATTATCATTACTTCTCAATGAAGCATTCAGTAACATTGTCATTTGTAGCTGTCACTCCGATTTAGTACTAATAATTGTTTTTATTACCTTTAATTACTATTACACGTTCATATGAAGATTGTTTCATAGTAATAAATCTACATGGCAGACATCAATAAAAATTTTGATATATATTTGATGAATAAAAAATAATGACTCAATTATATCATTTTGATCGTTCATTATACAAATATGTCAACAGAAGTTCTAATTGCTTCACATCTAACAAAAGCTATCCTTGATAATAATAGTAAAAAGTGTCTATTTAAATCCTTAGGAAAAAAAGAATTAGTTTAAATAGAAATTATATTTCGTCAAATAACTCATACAACAAAGTAAAAGTTAAAACTTTTTTATTTTTAAATGAAAATTCATGTTTACAACATAAAATACAATAGAAATTGTGAAATAGTTACATAATTAAGAACGTATACGTCGATGAGTTGGTGCTGAACCAAAACTAAGCCTTTGTCTTGTATGATGATGATGTCCATAACCAACATGAGATGGAACATAACTTCGTCGATCCCATGTTGCTCCATAATATGAAGCTTGACAATGAGAAAAACGTGGACGATGTTGAGATTGACTACCACCCATCTTATATGTCAAATGATAAAGTAAACATAAAAAAAGAATTTATTATATACGGAACAATAAAAGGAAGAGAGAGAGAAGCAAAATATTCTCACATCATTCTTCTTTTCTTCGAGAAACACAAAGAGAAAATATGTTTGTTGGAAAGAATAAAAAATTTCAAGAAAATTAGGATATGTAAGAAACTTCATGTTAATTTATAAAAAAATCGATTATTTTTCTTTTCGAATATTAGGAGTTTTTCATTATTGTGAATATTTGACATATTACCATTTGTGTGTTCTACTTTGGGAATAAATAGATGTAATTAAATTCGGATAAAAGAAACAACATCATGTTGATTAGAGAGTATTCAGAGATTAAGAGGCATTCTTATGTGAGAAAAACAAGTTTTAAATGACTATTTTTATCGAATTTTGATTGATTAAATTATTTTTAATTAGAATTTTGTAACGGCATATAGTTTATCATGTCTTTTTTTGTGCATATGACTATGGAAATCAAACTTAAAGAAGCATATATCATTTTGTTTTCTATTGCATTTAACTAAACAAGAGTGCATGAATATTAACAGATCAATTTAATTCTCGTAAATGTGGAAATATAAGTATTCTAATTTAATAATAAATAAATAATTCCTGTTAATTTAAAATTTTAATAACATCATTTTATTAAATTATAATGAAAAGTGATTATCTATCATTAAACGGAACGATAATCAACTAAAGTACTTTGATATTTCTAAAAATATTTTAATTAATTAACAAAAAAAAACTAATGATAAGATGCATAAGCTTTTATCAAATATTACACTGGCACTCATAATTATTACAAGTCATTTGTTTCTATAATCTAGTAAATTAGTCAAAACTTTTCATGGTGAATTTAGGGATGTGCAGTATCAGTATACTGACCACCGATAAAATCACACTGGCGTTCACCGGTACGGTGACGACACTGACACTGAGCACACTGTCTGCAGTGACGCACTGTCACTTAGCGAACTGTCTGCAGTGACGCACTGACACTGAGAGAACTGTCTGCAGTGACGTACTGACACTGAGCGAACTGTCTTCAGTGACACACTGACACTGAGCGCACTGGAGCAGTGACCACACTGGC